TAATAGACTAGTCACAGAACTGGTCAATAGTGAATCAATACACTAATACATAGAGTAATCAATAAATTAGTCAATAGACTAGGCAATAGTGTAGTCAATGAACTAGGCAATATACCATATACTGGCCCATAAACTAGTCAATGGACTAGTCCATACACTTGTCCATAGACTAGTTAGTCAATAGTTTGGCCAATAGACCAGTTAGTAGTCAAGTCCTTAGTCGAGACTAGTGAATGGACTAAGTAAAAGTAATCTAGTAGTATTAATTCTAAAAAAGTACTTATTTTGGAAATGTTTAAACTTTAAAAGGTTCTAGTGCGAAAAATTTTGAATTCGAATTTAAATGTTTTAAAAGTTAAGACTGAAGTCAAACCTTTAGTTTAAATATTTTTTTAAAATAATTTCATATCTTACTCATTTTGAAATAAAAACAATCTAATAAAATATATCTTTGGCATTTTTTTTTTATTATTTTTGTTGTTTAATATTCATAATGGTTTTTTATTATTGTTATGTATTCATTATTTAAAAAAATGTAAATCAATAATAAACTTAAAAAGATGCACTTATTTATTTATATAAAAAATATGATTAACTATGATTGTTTATTATTATGGTTAATTTGTGTAAAAGAAAAAAATTAATAAAATAAAATAATTAAATAAAACAAAATCATTAATAAATGGCTACTACAGCAATTACAAAAAAATTAAACAAAAAAATTAAAAACTGTAATTATAAATATATATGCTCATTAAATGCAAAATTGATATGACTTGAGGAGAGAAAAAGGAAAGAAGAAAATAAAAAATAAGTTAGAGAGACAGTTAGCTAAAGAGATAAAATTAAGCTCAAAATGCTAAAAAGAGATAATATTAAATAGTTGCCATACGAAATAAAAATATAAGTAAATTTGTGAGTTTGGTTTACAAAATTTGTGTTTTCATATAAACTGTACTTAATAAACTAAAAAAACTACTTCTAGCAGTTTATGTTTTTTTTTGTTTTAGTTAAACTTAGTTGTTTAGAAAAAAAAAATAAAAGAATTGTTGTTGTTTAGTTAGATAATAAAAATAAATTTACAATTTGTTTAAGCTTCACTTTAAAGAAAAACTTTTTCTTTTTTTTTAAATAAAACTTAAAAAACTAATGCCAATACTTTTTTTATTATTTTTTTAAATTTCTTTGTATATAAAATGTTTACTTTTTTGTTTTTGTTTAATATATGATGGAGGGGTTTTTGCTTTTTAGCGTTTTAATTTCAAAATAAAAAAAAAAATATGTTTTAATTACTAAATCTAAAGTTAAAGTTTTATGATTCACTTTCTTTTTCTTTCAAATTACATCATATCAATTTCATATACAAACTACTTTTACTTATAATAATTTATAATATATTTTTTGTTTTTTCTTAGTTTTTTTTTTAATAAATGTTATCAAAAAGTTTAAACAAATTAATATTTCGTAATAGGGCGGTTGTCTAATAGTTTCGAGTTATTTTTTTTTTTTTCTTCATTTAAGCACAAATCAATGTTTTCCACATTCTTTTTAACTTATAAAACACAAAAAAAAATCTTTTGTAAAGTTTTTTTTTCTTTTTTTTAACAAATTATTATAATTTAACATAAATATTTAATATTTGTGTAAAAGTATTAGAGTGTCTATTATTTTAAGTTTGATGTTTCAGCAAATTTTGTTTTCATATTTTCATTTAAGCTTTTTTTTTTAAGTTAAACTAAAAAAACAAAATACAAGTTTCTATTTTTTATTTTATAATGGTTTTTGTTGTTGTTGTTGGTGGCGTTAGTTGTTGTTTTATATGATTGTTATTCAATTACAAAACCTTTCGAGTTTCTTTTTTTATATATTTTGTTTGTTTCCTTACATTTTCCTTACATTAACTTTATCAATTTGTTCCACTTTTATTTTGTTAATTAAAAATAAGTTTTAGTTAATTTTTGAAAAATAATTTTAATTTTTTAAAATTAAGTTTGTTATTAAGGGGGGTGTTAGCGATTTTTGTATTAAACTGCTTTTAACTTACAGCCTTATTAATAAGAATTTATCAAAGGTTTATAAAACAAAATTTCTTTTATAAACCTTGTATAAATTATTATTAATAATACCATTACAGACTTAGTAATAACTGTTTATCAAAGGTTTATAAAACTAATTTTCTTATAAAACTTGTTCTCTAAACCTTTTATAAATGATTATTAAAAGGACCCTCAAAGTTCAAAGTTTTTATATGAAACAAGTGTTATAATCATTGTCATTATACTTTCTATAATTTTTTATCAATTCGTAAAAGAAAAACTGACGAATTAGTTCTCTACAAAAAGTTAATATCCCCAAAAAAGTACTTTTTATCAAAAAGTGAAATATTACGACTTCAATATATAAAATTTAAGTATTTTTAAAGAAAATTACTTTATTACAGCGTTTTTAGTTATATAATATAAAAAGTACCAAAAATGTACAAATCATACTTAAATTTCAAAAAAGTACTTTTCATCAAAACACTCCCAAAAAGTGATATATCTCGTTGTGAACACATAATTTTATAAATTTTTAAAGAAAATTCCTATTTTAGAGCGTTTTGGTGCAAAAAATATAAAAAGTAGCAAAAAAAGTACTTTTTAAAGTTAAATACTTTACGCTAAAATTGTTAAATTTAAAACAAATAAATGTTTCTGAACAAGCATTTTCAGTTTACAAACATTTTTATAGCTAAATATAAAATTTTAAAACAAAATCGTATCAAAATTACGAAAACTGTACAAAATGTACTTAACTGCTGAAAAAGTACCTTTTGTCAAAAAACACCAAAAAGTGGAATATTTCGTCGTGAAAACATAATTTTATAAATTTTTAAAGAAAATTCCTATTTTAGAGCGTGTTGGTGCCAAAAAATATAAAAAGTACCAAAAAAGTACTTTTTTAATTTTAGTACTTTTCGCTAAGATTGTTAAATTTAAAACAAATAAATGTTTCTGAACAAAAATTTAAAGTTTACAAATATTTTTTACAGCTAAATAGAAAATTTTGGAACAAAATATAAAAAGTACCGAAATTGAGCAAAATGTACTTAAATGTCAAAAAAGAACTTATCATCAAAACACACCAAAAACTGGAATATCTCGTTGTGAACACATAATTTTATAAATTTTTAAAGAATATTCCTATTTTTTATCGATTTATTGCTAAAAAAATATAAAAAGTACCAAAAAGTACTTATTTTAAGTTTAGTACTTTTAGCTAAAATTGTTAAATTTAAAACAATAAATGTTTCTGAACAAAAATTTAAAGTTTTTAAAAATTTTTCTAAAAAGTACTAAATACCAAAAAAGGTACTTTTTCCAAAATGGGTAAAAAGAAAAAAGTACTAAAAAAAACTTTTTAGATCTAAATTTTAGTGCTAAATGGAAAAACTTGATTCAAAATATATAAAATAACAAAAATGTTAAAAATGTACTTAACTGCCAAAAAAAAGTACTTTTTATCAAAAGTGCAAAAAAGTGAAATATCTCGTCGTGAATACAAAATTGTATACATTTTTAAAGAATATACCTATTTTAGGACGATTTTTTGCAAAATTAAGAAAGTAGCTTTTTGTAATTTTAATACTTTTTGCTAAATTTTTAGTACTTTTCGTTAAAATTGCTAAATTTAGAATAAATCTATGTTTCTGAGCAAAAATTTATAGTTTACAAAAATTTTTCACAAAAAGTACTAAATAGCAAAACAAAGTAGTTTTGATTTTAATACTTTTTGCTAAAATTTAACCATTTTTAATAAATTTTAGGTTCCTGATCATTAAATCTGTGCTCTCGCAAAACAAATTATTGAAATAGTACTAAAAGGCCAAAAAAGTACTTTTGCCAAAAGTGAAAAATGGGAAAAACTACAATTTTTGTTAAAGTTTTATTTAGGAAAAAATATATAAAAAGTACCACAAAAAGTACTTTTTTTACATGTTAAACCTTTTTGCTAAAATTGTTCAATTGAAAATTAATTTAAAGTTTAAAGCACAAAATTTGGTTTTTACCAGCATTTTTAGTTAAAAGACGAAAAAGTACTTTTTTCAAAAGTGCCAAAAAAAGGGGAAAATCATAAAAATTATTCATTCGTTTTAGATTTTAGTTGAAACATATAGTTTTTACAAGCATTTTTAGCAAAAAGTACTAAAGAACCGAAAAGGTACTTTTACTAGAAGTGGCAAAAAGGCACCAAATCTAAAATTGTAGTTTAAATTTCATAAATAAACATTATTTAAAGCAATATGATCTTAAAAACCAACAGTAAAAAGTACTTTTTTAAATTTTCAAAATTTTCTTAACCTTAAAAAAATGCTAAATATTATAACACTTTGTTCAAAACAAAAAAAATCCCCTTAATTTTAAACTAAATTCTTTCAATTCAAAAATTTTTAACCACAAACAAACTAAAAACTTTTTTAACTTTCTCATTTTGTAAACTTTAATAAACTTATTACTTCAAAAAATAGTTAAAATTAGAAAATTTTATAAACTTAGTTTATAACTTATAAATTATTATTATACAAATTATTAATATAATATTATATATATTTTTAAATATATATCTAAATATTCAATATATTAAAGTATTAAATTTCCTGTCATCATTTTTAAAAAAATATAAAGAATTTTAAAGAACATGATTGTTGTATACAAAAAAAAGTTTTATCTTTTTTTCTCGTTTTCTTCATTTCTAAAATTTAAATTAAGTAGTTATTAAGATGTTTTATAAAAGTAGATTTTTTTGTGATTGGTGTTTTTTTTAAATTAATTTTTGTTTTTGTCAATAAGTTATAAATATATAAGTATAGTATAGTACAGTATCATCATCATTATTATTATTATAATAAGTATTTTAAATTGTTTTTTTCTTTTTTGACACTTAATTCCATATAAATATATTAAATTTTTTTTGTTTATTTCCATGTATAGATTATTAAGTATTTATTGTATTTGTTGTTAATGTCTCTTTTTTTCAACTTAACCTTTTTTTGTGTATGTAATATAAATTTTTATTTGCCTTAAATTTTATTTTTTCATTCCTTTTTAGTTGTTATTTTTACGGCAAATTTAAGGTGATACATATGGTGGGGGTTTACGATATGATGGCGTAGCCGGTGATTTCCCTCTTGCTTCGCGACCACCTACTACAACAGCTGGCGGTGGAACATATTCATCGACATCATTATCACCTAAAATTAAACTTTATTACTTTAATGATTTTAAAACTAACTAACTACTATAAGAGGGAGAGTGGGGAAAATGTTAACGTACCATTCATATTTGAGGTATTGTATGAGGGTGGTAATAATGGTGGCTTTTCATCTTTTAATATAATAGGACTCTTATTACCAATTTCAGGTTTTTCATCGAGCTCATCTTGAAAGATGACAGGTATACCTTTGGTACGGAAAGATTTACGTTCTTCTTCGTCACCTATAATAAATAGATTATAAGAAATTATTTAAACTAATTCCAACATAATGTATTTAAGTCTTGACTTAATAAGTTATAATATTAAATATTAATTTAAAATTGTTTGACGAAAATTTTTCTAGGAACTAAACTGTAAACTATAGGCAATTCACTCGACTATAGACTAGACTGTAGACTCAACTACAGACCAGACTATAGACTATAATATATACTAGACTGTAGACTAAATTATATATTATATAGACTAGACTATAGACTAGACTATAGACTAGACTATAGACTAGACTATAGACTAGACTATAGACTAGACTATAGACTAGACTATAGACTAGACTATAGACTAGACTATCGACTAGACTATAGACTAGACTATAGACTAGACTATAGACTAGACTATCGACTAGACTATAGACTAGACTATCGACTAGACTATAGACTAGACTATAGACTAGACTATAGACTAGACTATAGACTAGACTATAGATTAGACTATAGACTAGACTATAGACTAGACTATAGACTAGACCATAGACTAGACTATAGACTAGACTATAGACTAGACTATAGACTAGACTATAGACTAGACTATAGACTAGACTATAGACTAGACTATAGACTAGACTATAGACTAGACTATAGACTAGACTATAGACTAGACTATAGACTAGACTATAGACTAGACTATAGACTAGACTATAGACTAGACTATAGACTAGACTATAGACTAGACTATAGACTAGACTATAGACTAGACTATAGACTAGACTATAGACTAGACTATAGACTAGACTATAGACTAGACTATAGACTAGACTATAGACTAGACTATAGACTAGACTATAGACTAGACTATAGACTAGACTATAGACTAGACTATAGACTAGACTATAGACTAGACTATAGACTAGACTATAGACTAGACTATAGACTAGACTATAGACTAGACTATAGACTAGACTATAGACTAGACTATAGACTAGACTAGTCTATAGACTAGTCTATAGACTAGACTATAGACTAGACTATAGACTAGTCTATAGACTAGTCTATAGACTAGACTATAGACTAGACTATAGACTAGTCTATACACTAGACTATAGACTAGACTATAGACTAGACTATAGACTAGACTATAGACTAGACTATAGACTAGACTATAGACTAGACTATAAACTAGACTATAGACTAGATTATAGACTAGACTATAGACTAGATTATAGACTAGATTATAGACTAGACTATAGACTAGACTATAGACTAGACTATAGACTAGACTATAGACTAGATTATAGACTAGATTATAGACTAGACTATAGACTAGACTACAGACTAGACTATAGACTAGATTATAGACTAGACTATAGACTAGACTATAGACTAGATTATAGACTAGACTATGGACTAAACTATAGACTAGACTATAGACTATATTATAGACTAGACTATAGACAAGACTATTGACTAGACTATAGAATAGACTACAGACTAACTATAGAGCAGATTTTATCTATTTTAGGCAATAGATCAGACTGTAGACTAAACTATAGTGTAAACTATAGACCAGACTGTAGACTAAACTATAGACTAGACTAGTCTACAGACTAAACTATAAACTAAATAATAGACTAAACTATACACTACACTATAGACTAAACTATAGACTATACTATAGACTAAACTATGAACTAGACTAGAGTAAGCTATATATAGACCATGCAATACATCAGACTGTAGTCTAAACTATGGTGTAAACTGTAGACCATAGTGTTGACTATACTGTTGACTACTATAGACCAAATAACAGACTAAGCTATACACCACACTACAGACTGAACTATAGACTAGTCTATAGACCAAACTATATACTTGACTATAGACTAAACTAAACCATAGACTAGAATACAGACTAAAGTATAGACAAAACTATATACTAGACTATAGACTAAATTGTAGATTAGACTATAGACTAAATTATAGACTAACTACAAATTAAACTATAGACTGTACTATAGACCGGACATTGAACTAGACTATAGACCAGACTAGTCAATAGACTCGACTATAGACTTAACTATAGACTAAACTACAGACTAATCTATATATTCAACTATAGACATTGACCATAGGCTATACTATTGAAAAGACTATAGACTAAACTGTAGACTAGTGACTACATAATATATTGAACTATTGACTAGAGAATAGACTAAACTATAGATAACAGTGTTGACTAGACTACAAAGTAGACTAAACTACATATAGACCAGAGTATAGACTATACTATATACTAGACTATGTCTTGACTAGAATGTAGACTATAGACAGGACTATAGGCTAGACTGCAGCCCGTAGACCAGACTATGGAGTATTTAAACGAGAAAACTTTACTATTTCAGTTTTCTACTTACCCAATTCCATTTTACCGCTCTTACGTCTTCTACGATGTAAACAACAAGCGATTATTGAAGCAATTAAAATCATGGAAACAATTATAATGGCAGGCAGAATGATTGTAAACATATAATCATCGGAGAAAGTAGATTTCAGCAAAGGTTCATCGGTTTTACTTGGAACAAATTCACGATGAGTAACATCTGTTTGGACTACAAAAAAACAAAACAAATTTAGAAATTTTTCAAATAAATATTTCATAAATCTTACCATTACAGCTGCCCAAAGGAATAATTTGAATATTTGTAATATTCAATTCAGGACCCATAGCCTTTTTAACACGTTCACGCACCGAGTAATCATGGAACAAAACACTACGGAATGCTTCCATTTCATCTTCCGGACAACGATTATGCGATTTGTGTAAAGTAGTATTATAGAAACTAACAACAGTACCATCCGAATCGTGAAGAGTTGTCACCGAACGTATTTGTATATTTTGTGTGGAGGCATCACCGAACAAACTAGCCATACGTTCCACAAATTTACGCTGTAAATCGGCATTGAAATGTTCGTGTTTAATGGCTAAATATACTTTAGTGTATAAACTAAAGTCTCTCTTGGGAGCATGATTAACTTGCACCACCAAAGCATCGGTGGCTGTGAGACCACCAGCATCTTCAGCGACCAACATGTATTCTTCGGAACCGGCATCACCACTCTTGGGTATGCCATAGAATTCATCATTCTTAGAATCGAATTGCAACCAATGACGTGGACTAAGTTCTTTGTGTTCCTTTGTTTTCAAACTCAAGGTAAGTTCATTGTCGTTGGGATCAAAGAAAGTATCGCTGGGCACCTTGTAGACCAATAAATGACCTACAGTAGCAACAACACGATCCACTTGATTGCGTGGCACCGGAGGAGCATTCTTAACATTAAGTGTAGGTGTCTTGGGCTTAGCAGCGGCAGTTTTCTGACAAGGTCCTATCAATTGACCCGTTAAAGATTTAATACCCAATGTGGGTTGCACCAAATCACTGAGACGACTGACATCTAAACGTTTAACCAGATTATTCAACTCACGCTCGGGACACTCACTAGTAGGCAGGGTTTCATTGAAATACACCAAAGTGGCAATGTTGGGATCTTGAGGATTAGCACGTATCTCACGCACCACAATTGAATTAGTATTTGCATCTCCCAGGGTATTAGCAATAGCTGGAATATTGTAAATTAAAGAAATTAATAAGGAGTTTTTTTGTAAGGTTAGAAGTTTATCTACCGTTTATCAAGCTCATCTGCCAGTCTATATAGTGCATATTCTTTTCATTGATTTTAACCGAAATATTAATTTCATGATTAACTGTACGCACACCACGATGTTGTTGCACTGATATTTCTAGAGTTTCGGTTACGGATTCATTACCCGAATCGGTGGCTGTAAGGCGATATTGCCATTTCGAGACTGCATCATCTAAAGGTCTGTAAATATAAGAAAAGAAATATTGTTTAAATATCTATAATCTAGTCGGTAGTCTAGTCCATAGTATAGTTTTTAGTTGAGTCTTGTTTATAGTCCAGTCTATATTCTAATATATAGTCTAGTTTATAGTCTATAATGTGGACTATAATATAACCTATAGTCTAGTATATAGTCTAGTTTATAGTGTAATTTATAGTCTAATATATACTTTATTCTATAGTCTAGTCTATAGTGTACTCTATAATCTAGTCTATAGTCTAGTCTATAGTCTAGTCTATAGTCTAGTCTATAGTCTAGTCTATAGTCTAGTCTATAGTCTAGTCTATAGTCTAGTCTATAGTCTAGTCTATAGTCTAGTCTATAGTCTAGTCTATAGTCTAGTCTTTAGTCTAGTCTTTAGTCTAGTCTATAGTCTAATGTGGACTATAATCTAACCTATAGTCTAGTATATAGTCTGGTTTATAGTGTAATTTATAGTCTAATATATACTTTATTCTATAGTCTAGTCTATAGTCTAGTCTATAGTCCAGTCTATAGTCCAGTCTATAGTCTAGTCTATAGTCTAGTCTATAGTCTAGTCTATAGTCTAGTCTATAGTCTAGTCTATAGTCTAGTCTATAGTCTAGTCTATAGTCTAGTCTATAGTCTAGTCTATAGTCTAGTCTAGTCTAGTCTATAGTCTAGTCTATAGTCTAGTCTATAGTCTAGTCTATAGTCTAGTCTATAGTCTAGTCTATAGTCTAGTCTATAGTCTAGTCTATAGTCTAGTCTATAGTCTAGTCTATAGTCTAGTCTATAGTCTAGTCTATAGTCTAGTCTATAGTCTAGTCTATAGTCTAGTCTATAGTCTAGTCTATAGTCTAGTCTATAGTCTAGTCTATAGTCTAGTCTATAGTCTAGTCTATAGTCTAGTCTATAGTCTAGTCTATAGTCTAGTCTATAGTCTAGTCTATAGTCTAGTCTATAGTCTAGTCTATAGTCTAGTCTATAGTCTAGTCTATAGTCTAGTCTATAGTCTAGTCTATAGTCTAGTCTATAGTCTAGTCTATAGTCTAGTCTATAGTCTAGTCTATAGTCTAGTCTATAGTCTAGTCTATAGTCTAGTCTATAGTCTAGTCTAGTCTAGTCTATAGTCTAGTCTATAGTCTAGTCTATAGTCTAGTCTATAGTCTAGTCTATAGTCTAGTCTATAGTCTAGTCTATAGTCTAGTCTATAGTCTAGTCTATAGTCTAGTCTATAGTCTAGTCTATAGTCTAGTCTATAGTCTAGTCTATAGTCTAGTCTATAGTCTAGTCTATAGTCTAGTCTATAGTCTAGTCTATAGTCTAGTCTATAGTCTAGTCTATAGTCTAGTCTATAGTCTAGTCTATAGTTTAGTCTATAGTCTAGTCTAGTCTATAGTCTAGTCTATAGTCTAGTCTATAGTCTAGTCTATAGTCTAGTCTATAGTCTAGTCTATAGTCTAGTCTATAGTCTAGTCTATAGTCTAGTCTATAGTCTAGTCTATAGTCTAGTCTATAGTCTAGTCTATAGTCTAGTCTATAGTCTAGTCTATAGTCTAGTCTATAGTCTAGTCTATAGTCTAGTCTATAGTCTAGTCTAGTCTATAGTCTAGTCTATAGTCTAGTCTATAGTCTAGTCTATAGTCTAGTCTATAGTCTAGTCTATAGTCTAGTCTATAGTCTAGTCTATAGTCTAGTCTATAGTCTAGTCTATAGTCTAGTCTATAGTCTAGTCTATAGTCTAGTCTATAGTCTAGTCTATAGTCTAGTCTATAGTCTAGTCTATAGTCTAGTCTATAGTCTAGTCTAGTCTATAGTCTAGTCTATAGTCTAGTCTATAGTCTAGTCTATAGTCTAGTCTATAGTCTAGTCTATAGTCTAGTCTATAGTCTAGTCTATAGTCTAGTCTATAGTCTAGTCTATAGTCTAGTCTATAGTCTAGTCTATAGTCTAGTCTATAGTCTAGTCTATAGTCTAGTCTATAGTCTAGTCTATAGTCTAGTCTATAGTCTAGTCTATAGTCTAGTCTAGTCTATAGTCTAGTCTATAGTCTAGTCTATAGTCTAGTCTATAGTCTAGTCTATAGTCTAGTCTATAGTCTAGTCTATAGTCTAGTCTATAGTCTAGTCTATAGTCTAGTCTATAGTTAGTCTATAGTCTAGTCTATAGTCTAGTCTAGTCTAGTCTAGTCTATAGTCTAGTCTATAGTCTAGTCTATAGTCTAGTCTATAGTCTAGTCTATAGTCTAGTCTATAGTCTAGTCTATAGTCTAGTCTATAGTCTAGTCTATAGTCTAGTCTATAGTCTAGTCTATAGTCTAGTCTATAGTCTAGTCTATAGTCTAGTCTATAGTCTAGTCTATAGTCTAGTCTATAGTCTAGTCTATAGTCTAGTCTATAGTCTAGTCTATAGTCTAGTCTATAGTCTAGTCTATAGTCTAGTCTATAGTCTAGTCTATAATATATTCTATATTATAGGGTATAGTCTTGTATCTAGTCTAATCTTTAATCTAGTTTATAGTTTAAAATTAAAGTTGTTTCACTTACAATCCATAAATTTCCTTAGTCTCAGCGTTAAACTGCAACCAAGAGTTCGATTTCAATTCACGGCCTTCCTTATCGGTTAATTCCAAACGCAAATTCGACAAATCTTCATTATCGTAGAAAGTATCTTCGGGTACCGACAATTTGAAAGATTTACCCGAGGTAACAGCCAATTTCTGTAAACGTGACTTAATCATGGGTGGAGAATTTTCAATCTTTGGTTCAACATAGTCGGGTAAAGCAGTAGTAGAGCTAACAACTTCTGGTGTGGGGGGAGCAGGTGTAGTGGTAGCCTGAGTAGTGCTGATGGTAGTTGTAGGCGATTGCACAGTAGTAACAGAGACTGAAGCATTTGATTCATCAGTAGATTGAACAGTAGTGGTGGACTGTAATAGATAAAAAGTTGACATTTTAAAGATTTATTTTAATTTTTGTTTTCTTTATTTTCAACTTACAGATTTGCCGAGTACATCTTGACTATCCTCAGGTTCTACAGTGGTCTCATCCTATGGTTTATTATTAAGTTTTAGAGAGAGAAATGAAAAGAAAAAAATTTAATAAAAATTCTTTAAAGTTTGTTTTTATATATTTAAGAATTTCATGCTTAAGAGTTTTCATAAACTTCAATTATAGCTGGAAAAATATGTATATAGCAAAAAAAATTATTGAGTATATTAATATTTCATATTTCTTAGAAGTTAAAGGAAATATGTATTTGAGAGGAAAGAGTAGATAGTAATTAAATTAAGCATGCGCCCACTAAAAGCCAACATTTAGTACAAAAATGAAAATAAATAATTATAATTATTTATAATAAAACTTACAAAATTTGTTATGTATTTACAGTAGTAAGTAATTTTAATAACAAGTGTAAGGTGCAAAAAATAATTTTAAAATAAATTATAATTAAAAAAAATTGAAATAAATTTAAAAATTATACTTTTTTCATAGTTTTAAAATGAAGAAAAAAAAAATAGATTTAAATTTACTAAAATAAACGCTAACAAAAAAAAGATTTGTCTTCAATTTGATATTTCAGTTCATAACATTTTAAAATAAAACATGCTGAAGCATGCTTTTCTTTTAGCTTGATGAAAGCAAGTTTTAAATGTCATTTTACAGATTTTCAAAAAAAAATAGGTTTTGTTTGGAGGTACAGATTTTGGTTTTTTTTATAATTTCTGATTTTTTTTCTGACACATACAAAAAGGTTTAATGTGTGCCAAATGCATTGAGATTGGGTGTTAAATAGAAATTTTCACCTTTTTGCCATTAATATTGATTTCAATAACATTTTCATTTGGTAACTCAAGTATGGAGGATGATGTTGTTGTTGTTGTTGTTGGTGTTTGTAGTATTTCCAAAGATGGTGTTAACATAAAAGGTGCCATTGTTGTTGGTGTTGTCGTTGCTATTGCCAACATATCTAGCGAGTATGAGGAGGAGGATGTTGTTGATGCTGTTGCTAATGATGCCTCCATATTGGATGAAGTGGTTAATAATGTTGTTGCTTTTGTTTTAGCAATTTCCATAGAATTTTCATCAACATTATTATCGCCATTGTTATTATTATTATTATTGCTGGAATAATATTGATGACGATGATGCTGTTGGAACTCTAGTTGTTGTTGTTGTTCAGTTGTTATGGCTGTCATTTGTTGGCTTTTCACTGTTGTAACTGCTGTTATTGTCATTATGGTTGTTAACGGTTTCAATATCTCTTCATTATTGTTGATATTTGAAAAATCCTCTAGTTCTTCATGTTGTTTTTCATCTATTCCAGCTACAGCTATCACTTCATCGTCATCATTATTATGTTTATTATTGTTATAGTTGTAAGTCCTTTCGTTAGGCATTGAATTTGAACTCAATTCATACTATTTTGTTTTAAAATACACATCATACATGTTGATAGATTCATTGAAATACAGATTTTTTTGTTTTGTTTTGTTGTGTTGTATTGTATTTGGATTTTGGTTTTATTTATATTGTTACGAAATTGAATTTGCATTTAAACTAAACGGTTTTTAACGGCCAGTTCCCGAAATTTCTTAGCGACTAACATTTGGGTGGCATCACTAAGCGTTGAAGAGGTGTGTGTGTCTCCACTAAACATTGACTTACATCAGTAGAAGTATCTAGATGATGGAGCCAGAATAAACTGGAAATATAAAGAAGGTGATGCCCATGTATAAATAGCGGTGGCAATCACCAAATGAGTCAGTCTGTAATAAATCGTCATTGAGTAAAGTTAATAAAGTCAAGTGTGCTTTCGTGTGTTAAAGATAAAAAGACAGCCTTACAGTCTCCTATATAAGTTGTGTTATAAAAGTATTTGTGTATAAAACTGTGTAAATAAAGAGTTGTTGTAGTTTTTAACAAATTGACGCTTTTATTTGCAATAAGAAGAATCCAGTTTATTTCAAAAGGAAATAAACAAACGTTTTAAAAGGTAAAACGTAACAATATTTTGTTTTGCCACAGAGCAACATGAGTTTGTTTTTGGGTAAATTGAAAATCATTAAACGAAAAAGAATCGTAAAAATAATGATGACACAAAAACACAAAAGAAAGTTAAGCAGCAAATGTATCTAGATACATGTAAATTTGTTTGTGTATGTAAATCATATCATACATATGTAAATGACATTCATATACATGGTTACATGTATGTAATAGATACAAGTGTAAATTACTTTACATTTTTGTAAGAGTTATAGAAAACAAGGAATATTAGGAACTGGCTTGTGTAAGACAAAGGTGTTGAAGCAAAGGGGTATTGATAAAGGGGGGAGTTTTATGCATCAGGTGTTCATATACAATAACTTACACATGTTTTTTTAATATATATTTGTAATAAAGTCTTCAAAAAATGTATTTTTTTAGAATTTCTTACATCTATAGTTTCACAACCTATAAATAGTTGATTTAAATAAATAACTTTAACCGAAAACAGATTATATTAGAATTAGTCCATTATATTACCTATCTTCTATACAAACTTCTTCCTAAAACTGAATATTAAAGCTTATTAATGAATTTCATCCAATTCATGAATATTCCGAAATTGGAGCGATCCATTACAATAAATAGTTCCCATATAAAGATCACTTGCGGAAATCGCTTTAGTTTCACTAAATCCCTTCAAATTATTGATCTTAAGATAAAGTTAGTGCCAAATCGTTAAATTTATAACAATTGTTTCACAATAGGATTAATTTTTAGGCTGCCGAACATCAAAAACAGTTTTTTTAGTGTACGAATATCGTTATTCGATAGTTCCACCAAGTCATGCCCAAAACGAAGCAATTTTGATGGTCGACCATTTTTGGTTCATCTTCATTAAGTCAACTTCTTCGGGGAAGTCATTTAAAGAAAGATTTACTCTCTTAGCTTGCGGGCCTATTATACAGACCCTTCTCATTACAGCTACAATTAATCTTTACGCTGCCGATCTTAATAAACTGTTTACCCGGGGTTATATTTCGATGTCTTCTTATACAATGTAGAACTGAATTTAACTGTAGAGTTTATAAACGAATCTCTATTAGGAATATTGTTAATCGATTGATCCGACAAGTCAGGCAATGACTGACTGTTCAAAACTGAACATTTTGTATTCATAATTAAGCATGAAAAAGGCAAAGGACTGATTTTTCTTCATCCTTACTGTGACATCTTTAGTTATTAAGAGAAGGGTTTCTTCTCTTAGCTTAAGCATCTATTATAAAAAGCCCTCTCACCACAGCTACAATTAATCTTGATGCGACCGACTTCACCCGGAGTCACATCACGATGTGGCCACATTTAATGTCAAACGTAACAAAATCTATATTACCAATATCGTAGCTGACGGGCCAAAACTGATCAGTCTGACCTACAATGTAAAACATGGACAGAGAAAATGTTTGACAGTTTTCTCTTCGTTTTCATTGTGACAATTTCCTCAGAAGCCATTAAAAGGAACAATCAATCTTTTAACAAGCGCAGAAATTATATAAAGCCCTCCTATCACAACTAAGATTAGTCGTGGGGGTCTTATCAAGGACCTATGCCTATCATGAAGTATTCATGTCTGCCTTGATGTCTTCAAGTATGAACATCAGCTATGAGTAGATCCGTTGCGTGAACCTGATAGTAGGTTTACTACGGTTTCTGTCATTTCTTACTCATTCGGACATTCACCGTCCAAATGATGTTTGAGTAGGACCGTTGAGTACCCGCTGTTTATATGATTTAGAGAATAAGAAACGAACTCCGACTAATGTTTGAGTTTACTCTTCCTGGAGACCAAGAACTTTGGCCGCAACTTTATCCGAATGATCTAATACCCAGAGTCAAAAGACATTCGATATTCGCGAACAAGTTTTAATGTCGTTTAGACACAGGTAGATATTTGATATTAAGTTTACTTCGATTGCTGACATTCCTGACTCATTCGGATATTCTCTGACCAAATGATGTCTAAGTCAAAACGATATCTGAGTACTCGCTATTTATATGGTTTGCAAAATTTACAAACGAACTTCGTCTAAAGCGTGAATTTAATCTTTCTAGAGATTAAGAATATTGGCCTAAAACAGAGTAACTACAAGTTCATCATCTTGTCAAGCGATGTTCAACATTCGCAAACTAGTTTTAATGTCTTGTAGACACCATATAGGGGTTTCATAGTAACTTTATCACAGTTATTGGAATTACTGGAATTCATTCGGGAATTCCCTTTCCAAATAATGTCTGAGTAGACCTGTTGAGTACTAGTTATTTATATGAATAACATTATGAAACAAGAACTACAACTAATGCGTGAATTTACTCTTCCTGAAGACCAAGAAATTTTGAATGAACAAAGTAGCCAGAGTAACTATAAGTTTGTCATATTGTCAAGAGACATTCGATTTCGCGAACTTTGGCCTGAACTTTGTCAGAACAATCAGGTACCCAGATCACTTCCAAGTTTGACATTACTTAAAGAAACTTTCAACATTCTTGAATTAGTCGTAATGTCGTGTAGATTCCAAAGTATTTGATATAAGGACTCGGATATATAATTCCCGTTTTTAAAGTTGTCATTTCTTTGACTCGTTATTTGGGAAAGAGAGTGTGAACTTGACATAAATCCCTAAAATGATTACTTTAAAATTTAAGATTCTGTCCTAAATAGTGCAGTAGACAAAATTTAGTGACATGAACTGGGTTTATATAGACAATATTTTTAGGAATATAAACAGTGTTTCTCAAATTAGATGCGTGACCGATAAAATAAGACCAAAAACCGACAGCTCAAAGACTTGTTCGAACATGAGATGGACAATTCGGTGAACTAACAAATCGTTTTATATTAAAGTTCGTTAAGCTCTGGCGATCAAAGTTTCAAAAAATATATACATAGGTTAAAATAAACTTTGTATAAATTTTAGATTTTACATAACTATTATAATTTATAACATATGTTTGTTTATGTTTTAATTAATACCTATACGTAATATGTATAACTGTTATACAAAGTGTTATATATTTTGTAAATTAAACATAATACGCTATACATCAATGGAAACGTTTTGAGTAGAAATAAATGTAATAAAAACATTTTTCCAAAAAATAGAAGGACAGATAATAAATTTTTACAAAATTAAAGGACAATTACATAAAGAAATTATACACAATAGTAAGGATATAAAAATAGATTTTGTATTTTATACGAAATATGTATTTATTAAGGTAATACCAAAAAAAGAGGAAAGAAAAAACACACCAATTGTTTAAAAAAAAGGACAGGAGAAACGAAATAAGAAATAACACAAAGTAGTTAAGGAATTGAGGAAGTATAATAGTTTGAAGAACATAATTTGACAACAAATATTTAAGGAAAAAAAATATAACACAAATACAAAATAGTAGGCAAGAAAAAAAACAAGAAAACTGATTAAGTATTTTAATTAAAACGATTAAACAAAGTAATCAATGAAGAAGAAGAAACAACAACGCTTTTTTATTGGCGATTTAGTTTTTTGCGTTTTCTTTTTTATGAAATTTTAAAAAATTTAGCTAAAGGATTTTATTTTTTGCTTTTTATAAAACAAGACACACATTACCTTTTTCAAAACAGTTGACAACATGGTGGAGGAGGAGGAGGACGAAGACGACGATGATGTAATTGCTGAAGACGCAGTGTTAGAAGAGGAATCAAGTGGTGTTGTGGTGGTCGTAGTTGTATCGGTTAAAATAACAGGTGTTAAATGTGAATTGGTGATGGTGGTGGTGAATTCAGTAACAGAATGTTGATGATGTGTATCACTACTACCAAATGAAGACAAATGATGAGAGTGACCATGTGTGGTAGATGATGATGATGAAGATGATGATGGTGAGGATGCAGAGTTTAATATATCTAAATGATTGTCTTTATTGCTGTGGCTGCTGGTCAAGCTAAAAGGTGTAGTGCTGTCGCTTAAACTTTCTAAATTTTCTTGTACATTTACCCCCAGCGGCGTATTATGGCCGCCATTGGTAGTCAAGGAGCTTATGGTGGTAGAGGGTGTTAAAGAGTCCAAGACTTCTGCTACATTAAAGTCATTACTATTATTATCATCCACGTCCACATCATTGGCATTCTCGTAGACAGTATTTAAATTAAGATTTACGCTATTCTTAGCTGCCGTTTCTACTTCTTCAATGGGTTGCAAAACTTCCGCTAGTATATCGTCTTCGGTTTGATCTACTACTATATCTGGTATGTCTTCTAGATTCTTGGTATTTTCTATAGTTTTTGTTATAACCGATTCCAACTGGGAAACACTTTCCACAATTTCCTCATCTATATTGCCCTTCTTGTTTAAAAGCAAAAGATTCGAATCCGTTTTCTCAACTTCTTCCTCGTCATCTTCTTCTTCGTCATTGTCATTGGGATCGGTTTGTTTCATAGCAGTTATATCATCATTTATCTTGTTATGATCAATATTATCTATTATCGCATTGTTGTTGTTAATGATGTTGTCTTTTTCGTTTATTGTTACATCTAACTTGTTCGATGTGATTTCAGACTATATATATATATATAACCCAATATTTAATTAACACGATATCAAGTATAACCCACAATTTAACAAAATGTTTTGTTTGTGATTTTTATAGAATTTTTTACATGATGTTGTGACATTTGTTTTGATCGACCAGAAAAAAATATATATATAAATATAGAACAGGTGATTTAAATGGTGCATAATATTATGATTTAAGTTAAAAATGTTAAATGTTTAGGTTAATGTTTAATATTAATTATAAATAATAAATTAAATGTTAAATTAAATACAAACATAATAAAACCAATATAAATACAAATTAGTAACAGAATTAAGAACCCAATTTAATTGTTTTTTTGTTTATTAATAATCAGTTTGTTCAATTGTTAGAATAAAGAAATTTGTTAAAAAAAAGAGAGAGAAAGTATGAAAGAAAAGAAAGAAACAACATAGTTGATTTTTAATTCAATTTTAATACACAATTAAATATTTAACAAAGACTTTTTATATATAAAATATATTTTTATCCCAAATTTGTTTTCTTTTTTTAATAATAAAATATATGGTTAATAACAAATGAGTTAAATAAATTACAAGTGCAAATTGTATAGAAAATTTTAATTTTTTTTTTTTTTTAAGTAAAATAACCAATCATCAATTTAAAAACAAAATATATTATTTTTTTTTTTTGTAAATTTTAAAACCCATTAACATTTAGATTTTTTATAAATTTTTTTTTTTACCATTTTAGTTAAAATAAAATAATAATAAAAGTAACCAGTAAATTGAAAATAATTTAAATAAAAACTTACCGTTTCATCACCATGATGATGACGATGAGCATGTGTGGGAGTGGTGGTGGGATCACTGTAAGAGTAACAAAACATCAAGTTAATATCGTCTAGTATTAATCTTATACCAAATACTTACACATCATCGTTATCTTCTTCATAATCATAGTAATCATCATCTTCGTCATCATCACCGGAACCTTCTATTTGTCGACGGTTACGCACTGATCTGGATTTGTATTGTTTACGCCAGATGACCCACCAACCGAATTTCTCGCCTGTTATATTGTCTAAAGCACCATCTTTAACTTGTTGTCCAATTTGTTTGCTTATGGGTTCGGTTACTGTGAAATATGTAGAACCACAACCGATCTGAAAAAAGTTGAGATTTTAAAATTTATAAAATTTCATAAAACGAATTTTTTTTTTTTTAAATTCTAAAAATAAAAATAAATCATTCTACCATATATTCTAAACAACAGTATAATCTATATTTTTTGTTTATTTTAGTCTAGTCTATAGTCTAGTCTATAGTCTAGTCTATAGTCTAGTCTATAGTCTAGTCTATAGTCTAGTCTATAGTCTAGTCTATAGTCTAGTCTATAGTCTAGTCTATAGTCTAGTCTATAGTCTAGTCTATAGTCTAGTCTATAGTCTAGTCTATAGTCTAGTCTATAGTCTAGTCTATAGTCTAGTCTATAGTCTAGTCTAGTCTAGTCTATAGTCTAGTCTATAGTCTAGTCTATAGTCTAGTCTATAGTCTAGTCTATAGTCTAGTCTATAGTCTAGTCTATAGTCTAGTCTATAGTCTAGTCTATAGTCTAGTCTATAGTCTAGTCTATAGTCTAGTCTATAGTCTATAGTCTAGTCTATAGTCTAGTCTAGTCTATAGTCTAGTCTATAGTCTAGTCTATAGTCTAGTCTATAGTCTAGTCTATAGTCTAGTCTATAGTCTAGTCTATAGTCTAGTCTATAGTCTAGTCTATAGTCTAGTCTAGTCTAGTCTATAGTCTAGTCTATAGTCTAGTCTATAGTCTAGTCTATAGTCTAGTCTATAGTCTAGTCTATAGTCTAGTCTATAGTCTAGTCTATAGTCTAGTCTATAGTCTAGTCTATAGTCTAGTCTATAGTCTAGTCTATAGTCTAGTCTATAGTCTAGTCTATAGTCTAGTCTATAGTCTAGTCTATAGTCTAGTCTATAGTCTAGTCTATAGTCTAGTCTATAGTCTAGTCTATAGTCTAGTCTATAGTCTAGTCTATAGTCTAGTCTATAGTCTAGTCTATAGTCTAGTCTATAGTCTAGTCTATAGTCTAGTCTATAGTCTAGTCTATAGTCTAGTCTATAGTCTAGTCTATAGTCTAGTCTATAGTCTAGTCTATAGTCTAGTCTATAGTCTAGTCTATAGTCTAGTCTATAGTCTAGTCTATAGTCTAGTCTATAGTCTAGTCTATAGTCTAGTCTATAGTCTAGTCTATAGTCTAGTCTATAGTCTAGTCTATAGTCTAGTCTATAGTCTAGTCTATAGTCTAGTCTATAGTCTAGTCTATAGTCTAGTCTATAGTCTAGTCTATAGTCTAGTCTATAGTCTAGTCTATAGTCTAGTCTATAGTCTAGTCTATAGTCTAGTCTATAGTCTAGTCTATAGTCTAGTCTATAGTCTAGTCTATAGTCTAGTCTATAGTCTAGTCTATAGTCTAGTCTATAGTCTAGTCTATAGTCTAGTCTATAGTCTAGTCTATAGTCTAGTCTATAGTCTAGTCTATAGTCTAGTCTATAGTCTAGTCTATAGTCTAGTCTATAGTCTAGTCTATAGTCTAGTCTATAGTCTAGTCTATAGTCTAGTCTATAGTCTAGTCTATAGTCTAGTCTATAGTCTAGTCTATAGTCTAGTCTATAGTCTAGTCTATAGTCTAGTCTATAGTCTAGTCTAGTCTATAGTCTAGTCTATAGTCTAGTCTATAGTCTAGTCTATAGTCTAGTCTATAGTCTAGTCTATAGTCTAGTCTATAGTCTAGTCTATAGTCTAGTCTATAGTCTAGTCTATAGTCTAGTCTATAGTCTAGTCTATAGTCTAGTCTATAGTCTAGTCTATAGTCTAGTCTATAGTCTAGTCTATAGTCTAGTCTATAGTCTAGTCTATAGTCTAGTCTATAGTCTAGTCTATAGTCTAGTCTATAGTCTAGTCTATAGTCTAGTCTATAGTCTAGTCTAGTCTATAGTCTAGTCTATAGTCTAGTCTATAGTCTAGTCTATAGTCTAGTCTATAGTCTAGTCTATAGTCTAGTCTATAGTCAGTCTAGTCTATAGTCTAGTCTATAGTCTAGTCTATAGTCTAGTCTATAGTCTAGTCTATAGTCTAGTCTATAGTCTAGTCTATAGTCTAGTCTATAGTCTAGTCTATAGTCTAGTCTATAGTCTAGTCTATAGTCTAGTCTATAGTCTAGTCTATAGTCTAGTCTATAGTCTAGCTATAGTCTACTATAGTCATCTATAGTCTAGTCATATAGTCATAGTCTATAGTTGCTATAGTCTATACAGGTCTAATAGTCTTCTAATAGTCTATATTTTTATTTTATATCTAGTACACAGTCAGACATAGTATATGTCTATATTTCTAATTAAAATCGTACCTCGAAAAAACACTCATAACTCAAGCACCGTTTCGCCTGCTACGTATATTTGTTTTAATTTTTTTATTTTATTATATTGCCAACCATTCCTTTTACAAAATTTAAAACGATTTCTAACTAAATGTGTGTTATAACCTTTTATTTGATTAATAACTTCCTTTTCAATTTATTTCACAAAAACCACTTAATTAAACATCCGTTTTAAAACATTTACAAAAAGGCAAAACACAGTCAAGCGGGCACCCCTGGTTGTTGGGTTGGTGTGGGAAACCAGGATATCTATGCTATAAAAGTGTGCGTGTGCGTTATGCATAAAACAATAGTAGAGTGATTTTTACGAAACAAAAAGTATAAAATTTTTATATATTTTTATAAACAGAATATAAACTTACTATAAAATTAACACGTCCCAATTTGCGATTATTATTATTATGGCACTTATTATTTCCTTTTTTCAATGATTCCTTTTGCATTTCAAACAATTCATGTTTTGTTACACTTTCCATTGTAATAAATTCCTGTTGAGTAGAGAAAATAATTAAAACATCTGTTATAAAGAGGAGGAGAAGGAGGTGTTTGCTGATTGGTTGGTTGGTTGGTTCGAGGGCTTACCTTTGGTATGGCAAAGAATTGTGATAATTTTTCTAAAACTTTGGCCTTGCGACTGTCATTGAAATCGTGCCAATTGTAATTTTTCAATACTAAGGACAAAACAATTTCATTGTCATCATAACGACAGTGTGACAATTCCACAGCATAGGGGTCCTGTTCAGCATGATGATGATGCTGTTGCTGCTGATGATTATGATGATGTTGTTGAAAACTACTACTACTACTGCTGCTGCTGCTGGTATGATGATCAATTAATATGGGTTCATCCTTGGGTTCAAGCAAAGTAACCTTAAAATAAACACAAAAACATATTTAGCAATTATTATTATTTTATTATTAAGATATTTAAGTACCCTCTGTTTTCCCTCTGTATTTCCCTTTTACGAAATTATTTGATATAGTCATTAAAATGTTACAAAGTAAAATTCCTCTTCTATATAATGACATGATTAATGTTTTCCGTTTTTGGTTATTTATAATATTTTTTTTTTTTTGCTATTTAATTGTTTGAATAATTGTACTAAAGACAAACAGACTTAATGAAACATAAAGTGTGTCTGCCTCTCTCTCTCTCTCTGCTTGTCGGTGGAATCATAAAATGTTGAAATTTTGAAAAATGAAAATTTTTTAAACATTAATGAAAATACCAGAAAAATTGTAGTTTAATGTTTCTATTTATGTTTTATGTTTAAAAATATTAAAAATAAATAAAAACCACCCCTTTTCTTTCCAATTTTAAGACTCTCTAATGATTAATAGTTTTCAAGTGCTGTTAAGGAAAAACTAAATGTATCTGTTTTGTTTTTTAAAAACTCATCATCATTTCCATTTACTTATTCATCCTGCTCTTGGCTGTCTGCCACTCATATGGAACATGACATTTGCATAATGATTTTTATATGGAATTTCAAATAAAGTCACCTGCACTATATATCTTTGCTTATCTCAGTTTTATCTATTCGAAATAAAAACTATGTTTAAAGGAATTAAAACTTTAGAATAACAAAAAAAACTATTAAATTTAACAAAAATCTCATTCCTTTAAAACTCTGTCCAAAAAAATAAAAAAACACATTCACATGTTGTCTATTTGCACAACGTTTTGCATACTAATAAACTAACTCAAAGAGTCCTTATTTTCCTATTAGGTACTCTGTTGTCAAATGAAAATTCTCCATTTCAACCCCATAAAATATTAACAGATTTATACAGAAAATTGTTAATATTTCGTTTTGTGTTTTACTATTAAATTTATGACCTGTTATGCATAATTTATATTCTGTTTTAGAGCACAAAGTTAAAACTCATACAATAAATGAATTATAAATGTGAAATTGTACTAGAATTTATATGAAATTCAAATCCAATTTACGAAATATTTATGTTGGATAAATATTTATTTAACATTTCTGTTTAATTGCTAGAAATAATTGGGAATAAAATGTTATTAAAGAAGTAATTTATTGCATTTTTTAGGGCATAATTTTGTGAAAAATTGCAATTTCTTAATAAATTTTTAATTAAAATTAAATTTAAAGCCAACAACTAATTGTGGGTGAAAAAATGTGTTTTAGTGAAAAATAAACCTAATAGTAAAATTTTGAATTATAGGTGAAACATTTGAATTTTTGCGAAAATTTTATTTTTTTTTTTTTTTTTTTGTGAAAATATGAGTTTTGAGTAAAAAATTTAGTTTTAGTAAAAAATACAATTTTCAGTGGAAAATCAAATTTTAGTGAATAATCGAATTTATAGTGAATATTCTAATTTTTAGTCAAAATTTAATTTTTAGTGAAAAAGCGAATTTTTAGTGAAAAAATCGATTTTTTTGAAAATTTTAATTTGTAGTGAAAAATCGAATTTTTTGGTGAAAAATCGAATTTATAGCGAAAAATTGAATTTTTAGAGAAAAATCGAATTTTTTGTGAAAAATTTAATTTTTAATAAAAATCAAATTTTAGTGAAAAATCAAATTTTAGTGAAACATTGAATTTTTAGTGAAAAACCGAATTTTTAGTAAAAAATTTAACTTAGTAAAAAAATTTAATTTTTAGTGAAAAAGCGAATTTTTAGTGAAAAAATCGATTGTTTTGGAAATTTTAATTTGTAGTGAAAAATCGAATTTTTTGGTGAAAAATCCAACTTTTAGAGAAAAATCGAATTTTTTGTGAAAAATTTAATTTTTAGTGAAAAATTTAATTTTTAATGAAAAATCAAATTTTAGTGAAAAATCGAATTTTTAGTAAAAAATTTAACTTTAGTAAAAAATTGAATTTTTAGTAAAAAAAAAACAAATTTTTAGTGAAAATTTTAATTTTTAATATAAAATCGAATTTTTAGAGAAAAATTGACTTTTTATGAAAAAGTGGATTTTTGTGAAAATCACATTTTTATTGAATAATCGTACTTTGTAGTGAAAAGTAAAATATTTAGTAAAATTCGGACTTAAGCGATTGGATTTTTTAATAGCCAAACTATGAACTACACTAAAGAGTAAATACTAGACTATAGACAAGACTATGGACAAGACTATGGACAAGTCTATGGACAAGACTATGGACAAGACTATGGACAAGACTATAGACAATACTATAGACAATACTATAGACAAGACAACTTTTTCTCCTACCCATTACTAATTCTATAACAATCTACCAAATAAATTTTAATAATTTTTAACCAAATATTAAAATTCAACAAAATATTTTCTAATATAAAACTAACAAACAAGCGCCAATAATAAATAATAAAAACATTTTCATTTGTATTGTTAAACGAGTAATTCATAGACAAATTAGGCATTATGCCAATCAGCAAAACAAAATTAACATTTTTCCCAATTGAAAAACATATAAATTATGACAACCAAGGCAACGGAATATGAAAAATAATAAAAATCAACATTTTGCATAATTTAAAAGAGGCGCCTAAAACCTCTAAAAGCAGAAAATAATTACAATTTTCAAATAATACTACAAATGTACAACATGTCAAATAAACCGCCTAAAAGGTCATCATATAATTTTGACAACTACTCTAGTAGTACTAATCAAATGTTCTTAAGTGTAATAAAATAACAGAACCATAAATTTTCTAATTATTAATACTTCTAACATTGTGTAGTTAGTTACCTTTTTAAAAAACACAGCAGACCACCTGGGACGGATGTCTTGCTCAAATATGGTTATTTTGCTTTGCAGTTATTATATTCCCTTAAATTATTAAATAATTTAATTTTGCTGAATTGTTATTACATTTGTATTCCCTCCACATGTACGCTTGACTACTTTTTAAAGATAATTCTAATATTGATTACACATGTCCATTAGAAAAGCGATTATTTCTTTACATTTTTGTTTATATTTTTAAAACCAGTAATTTTTACTTCCTTTAAAGCTATTTTGGGTTATTGTAATTTTTTTCAATTACCTTTTTTGTTAAATATTTTTTTACAAAAAAAGTACTACTAGTTAGTTATTTTAAATTATTCATTATCAAGGTTAATTTGTTATAGTAAATGATATTCTGTTAAATTGAACTTTTGTTGTTTTAAAACAATAATACCTAAAGACCTAGTAATTTAGTAATTTACTAATCTAATGTCATGTCTTTACATTTTCTACACATGGTCAATGTCTATTAAATTATTTTATTAATGCAATTAAAATTTGTTATTTACTATTGAACTTTGGAACTTCCGTTTTTGGGGTTAGGTTTAATGTTTTGACTCGTAAAATATTTTCCTTATTAAGCTTTAAACTTTGGTTTATAACTTGACCTATCACAATTTTTACATTTTAATTACATTGTAATTTATATATTTATTCAGAAAATTAACAAATTGGAATTAATTGGTAAAAAAATTAAAAGCGATTATTAGTATAATCTAGTCTATAGTGTAGTTTACATTCTAGTCCATAGTTTATTGTAAACTATAATCTGGTCTAGTTTATAGTCTAGTCTATAGTAATGTCTACAATCTATGGTATAGTCTAGTTTATATTCTTGTCTATAGTCTTGTCTATAGTTTAGTTTATAGTCTAGCCTATAATTTATCTATAGTCCTTCTTATAGTCGTAGCTTTATTATTGGCTATAGTTCTAGTTCTGTAGTCTAGTATATAGTTTAGTCTATAGTCTATAATGTCTATAATTTCGTCTATAGTCTTGTCTATAGCATTATATTTATCTATAGTCGTGTCAAAAGTATTATTTATCATGAAAAAAAGGGAACTGAATGAATTATTTTTCAGTGTTCAGAAATTCAGTTTCCTGAACGTAATTCCTAAGAATCTTCCAATCAGTGTTACTTCCAAGATACTTGGATCTAACGGAACTAACTAGACTATATACTAGACTATAGACTAGACTATAGACTAGAATATAGACTAGACTATAGACTAGACTATAGACTAGACTATAGACTAGACTATAGACTAGACTATAGACTAGACTATAGACTAGACTATAGACTAGACTATAGACTAGACTATAGAATAGACTAGACTAGACTATAGACTAGACTATAGACTAGACTATAGACTAGACTATAGAGACTAGACTAGACTATAGACTAGACTATAGACTAGACTATAGACTAGACTATAGACTAGACTATAGACTAGACTATAGACTAGACTATAGACTAGACTATAGACTAGACTATAGACTAGACTATAGACTAGACTATAGACTAGACTATATGACTAGACTATAGACTAGACTATAGACTAGACTATAGACTAGACTATAGACTAGACTATAGACTAGACTATAGACTAGACTATAGACTAGACTATAGACTAGACTATAGACTAGACTATAGACTAGACTATAGACTAGACTATAGACGAGACTATAGACTAGACTATAGACTAGACTATAGACTAGACTATAGACTAGACTATAGACTAGACTATAGACTAGACTATAGACTAGACTATAGACTAGACTATAGACTAGACTATAGACCTAGACTATAGACTAGACTATAGACTAGACTATAGACTAGACTATAGACTAGACTATAGACTAGACTATAGACTAGACTATAGACTAGACTATAGACTGACGAGTAATAGACTATAGACTAGACTATGACTAGACTATAGACTAGACTATAGACTAGACTATAGACTAGACTATAGACTAGACTATAGACTAGACTATAGACTAGACTATAGCTAGACTAGACTATAGACTAGACTATAGACTAGACTATAGACTAGACTATAGACTAGACTATAGACTAGACTATAGACTAGACTATAGACTAGGACTATAGACTAG